GAGTTTTTTTGTTTTTGTTTTTTTAAGTTTGAGAAGCTGTTTTATAGATAGGCAGTTGTGGTGGCAAAGAGACCAGATGCTAAGAACCCTGGGTTTGAATCCTGGATCTACCATTTACTGCATAAGTTACTTTTGTCTCTTTGGGCAAATGACTGAAATTCCTGGTGCCTCAGTTTCCTCATTTGTATTATGTAGGTAATAATAGTAAACACCTCCAAATGTTATGAAGATTAAGTGATTTAATTTTTAAAAGTGCTTACAGTTATACTTGGCTCGTAGTAAGTGTTCAATAAATGCTGGTTTTTAGTTTAGAAGTCTTGTGGAAAACTGATTTCTAGAGGTAGAGAAATGCACCAGATCTACCCTTCTAAACTGTTGAGTGTCTTGGGGCTAAACTGGGCCAAGCTCCTGTCTCCTTACCAGCTGATTTCTCATTAAAGTCTACCAATAGACCAGAAGGAGGAGCAGAAAAGGAGTTTACTCCATTCTGCTTGCTGGCTGTTTACCTGTGTTTCTCCAACGATGGCCCTTCACCCTACAGAGACAGTTGAAATCAGTGTCTCATTCCCCAAGCCTGCTCCATCGTGCCCCCTTAGAAGCACCAGCACTAACCAGGCAACATCTCTCCTGGCCCCAGCCTGGAAGTCTTCTCTAGGTGTCTGAATTATGATAACACATCTCTTCTTTGTTTCCTCAGGCTCAAGAGTGACCGCTGCTTCCAGCAGTTACTATCTCTGTGTTAAGTCAGTGTGTTCCCTATTTACTTTTTTCAAAAATATTGGCACCTGTTTAGCCAATTTCCTCGGTTATTTTCTCTCTGTTAAAATAACTAGTGTGTTTTCTGTTTTTCTCTGATGGATCTGACAAATACAGATGTTGGAGATTGGCTGTTAATAATGGTCATGAAGGCCTATGGGGACGGTGGCACACAGGAGACTCAGCAGGCCCAGGTCATTGATTGGATGTGCAGGGAAGAAGAGAGTCAAAGATGACTTTGAAGTGTTGAACCCAAAGAATAAGAGGGTGAGAAGTCTGGTGGTTGGGGTCCAGTGAGTTTGAGGTCCTTGTGGGCTCTCCTGTGGGAAAGCCTAGAAGGCAGTTGCAAAGAGGTCAGAACATGGATAAGAACCATCTGCACAGATGGATGAGATTGTCACAGGAGAGAAGGAGAAAAATAAGACGTAGTGTTGTCTTCAAATGGGAATATCAGTTCTAACAAGAGGCCACAGATGACAGCAATTGCAAACAAAAAAGCATGAGAGAGAGAAGGGCAGGAACAGGACCTTACAGAATATGGATGTAGGGAACTGGAGAAGAAGGAAGAAGTAACTTAAGAGGTCAGGTAGGAGAATGATCAGGAGAGTACAGAGTCAGAGAATCCAGGGAGAAGAATTTACATCAGAGGAAGTCGGTGGTCAGGAGCTAAGGAGAGGTTGAGAAGAATGACTGAGGAAAGACCAAAGAATTGGTGATTAAGAGGCTATCAGTGGCCTCTGTAGTGGTGCTTGGGGATGGAGAGCAGGGACGATCAGGGGACTTGGAAGATGGATGCTAGAAAACTAAGGACTAAGTAGAACCTAGTCTTACAGCTTGGCTCTGAAAGGAGAGCGGGACATAATAGTAAGATCTTGTCTTTTTGCTTTAAAGGTGAGACAAACCCAGTTGTGTTTGTCAGGGCTGGAGAATGTGACTGTTATGCTAATCTTACCATAACTTTATTCCTTTCTTCAAATATCTGTGGAGTCACATTGGAGATATCAAATTTGGATCGCTTTCATAAACATTAGGCAAAATCTTGGTGATGGCCCCTGTGACTTAAACAGATATATTGAAGAAGGAGGAGCTGTGAGACGTGGAATAACTCAAGTGTAGCACATTTGATATTTCAGGTATGTCTTAGAGGAGTTAATGCGTTGATAAATATTCCTAGCTTGGGCAACATAGCAAGACCTTGCCTCTACAAAAAATTAGCACCTGAAGTCCCAGCTACTCAGGAGGCTAAAGCAGAAGAATCGCCTGAGACCAGGTTGTGGTGAGCCTTGAGCATGCCACTCCACCCCAGCCTGGGTAACAGAATGAGACCCTGACTCAAAAATAATAAAAAAAAATTTTAAATCCCCCCCTGCAACCTCAGTGGCTTAACAATATTATTTCTTCCTCGCGTCATTGTCCATTTCACTGTTAGCAGGTTTTTCCATTGTTCAGTGTTTTCCTTTCTAATCTCCTTCAATCTAGTCTGTATTAATCTCTTCTTTTGAATTTGAGCAGAATTTCCATCTCAACTGACCTATACTCCCCCCACCCACTTCATCCACTCCACAAATGTTTATGAAGGGCCTACTATTTGTCAAGCACTGTGAACGTAAGGGTGTCACATGCTAATGAAGTAAATGGGAATTCAAAACCTCAGTGCACTAAGTGCTCTATTAATTAATCTACCAGCTGTGGGAGCATAGACATAGATTAATCCTGCCCAGGTAGTTCAGGAACATTTGCAGAGGAGGTGGCCTGTGACCTGTGCTTGATTCACAGAAGTTCACCAGGCCAAGAAGTTGGGATGGGGTAAAGTTGGAGGAGGTTCCCGTCTTCCAGGATGATGGGGAGAGGGTGCCAAGCGTATTTGAAATCTTCAAGTGTTTGAGCGTGGCTGGAACTTGTGTGGAAGGGATTGTCTAAAGCTAAGTTGGAGAGTTAAGATCGAGGCTAATTTGGGAAAGTCCTTATAGTGTAATGGGCTGAATTGTGTCTCCCCAAAATTCCTATGTTGAAATCAACCCCTAGTACCTCATAGTATGACTGCCTTTGGAGACAGGGCCTTTGAAGAGGTCATTAAAATGAGGTCACTTAGGCGGTCCCTAATCTAATATGACTAGTGTCCATCTAAGGAAAGGAGATGAGGACACAGGGACACACAGGGAGACCATGTAAAGATACAGGGAGAAGACGGTTTTTCAGACCAAGGAGAGGTGCCTCAGAAGAAACCAACCCTACCGACACCTTGATCTCAGACGTCAGCCTCCAGAACTGTGAGACAATACATTTCTGTTATTGAAGCCTCCCAGTCTGTGGTACTTAGTGATGGCAGGCCTAGCTGACTAATTCACATACTAAAACGTGGAATAGAGATTTATTCTGGAATCAGAGTCAAGGAGGCTTGAGTGAGGCAAGGAAGGGTGAGGAAGAGGCGGGGCTAAGGAGATTTTAGCTTTAGTCTTCCCTGGTGGACAAGTGAGTGGTGGGGCTAGTAACCGTAACACGGAGCATGGGAGGAGGGTTGTATAGTTATGTGGTCATTTCACACATGTACCGTACCCTGCAGTGGGCCTGGAAGTCTCCAACATAGGGCCAAGAGACTTTATTGCCTTTTCTTTCTTTTTTTTAGTTTTTTAGGGTTTGTTTTTTGGTTTTTGACAGGGTCTTGCTCTGTGGCTCAGGCTTGAGTGCAATGAGGTGAGCATAGCTCCTGGGCCCAAGTGATCCTCTTACCTCAGGCTCTTGAGAGGCTAGGACTCTAGGCACGTGCCACCATGCCTGGCTACTTTTTAAATTTTTTTAATTTAAACTTTGAGGTGAGGTTTTGCTATGTTGCCTGACCTCAAGCAATCTTCCTGCCTCAGCTTCTCAGAGTGCTAGGATTATAGGTCTGAGCCACTGTACTTGACCCATAGTGCTTTTAAAGTTATTGCAGGGGCTTGTCCAAGACAGCTCATAAGCAGCTCTGAGTGAATGCTCATTATTATTTATTTTATTTTTATTTATTTATTTTTCAAGTCAGCGTCTCACTCTATCACCCAAGCCAAAGGGTGACACAACCTCAACCTCCTGGGTTCAGACCAGCCTTTCACCTTGGTACCCTGAGTAGCTAGGACTATAGGTGTGTGCCTCCATACTTGGCTAATTTGTGTGTGTGTGTGTGTGTGTGTGTGTGTGTGTGTGTGTGTGTGTGTGTGTGTGTAGAGATGATATGGTTTCGCTGTGTTTCCCAGGCTGGTCTCGAACTCCTGGGCTCAAGAAATTCTTCACCTTTGTCTCTCAATGTGTTGGGATTACAGGCATGAGCCACTGTGCCTGGCCTAATACATGCTCATTTTAATGAAAGTAGTGGGAAACTGCCAGGGGGGCGTGGGATTGGCAGTTGAGGGAAACTGCCAGGGGAGGGAGGGGCACACCTCATCAACAAGGGTACCTGCATAATGAACATTTGTGTATCTAACCCTGAGCTGTACCCCACATCTTCAAAATAAAAATTTTAAAAAGTAAAGAAAGTAAGTCTTTCTCAGAGGACTTGGAGCATAGAAAAACCCATGGTTTGGCCTAGTGTTTCATAGTTTTATCCATAGATTTTCATTTGCTTTCACTTGCTTCAAATAATTCAGCATTGCATGGTGGTGGGAGGAATGCTGTGGTGGTTAAAAGTTCTATTATTGTGGCTAAATGCTCAAGAAGACATGAGCATGGGAGCCACTGAGAACTTGCTGCAGAGGCAGAGGAAGACGTTTCTAACTAGCTGCATTTCATTTGTGAGGCTGGCAATTTGACGGAGAAGTTTTAAGAAAATTGCTAAACCCGGAGGAATTGTCCCAGAAGAAAAGAAAATCATCCTCATGTAAATTATGATATAGAAGCAAATTCCATGCTTTATTGTCATTTCTGAGTTTCCACGGAGCATCTAACATCACAAAGCCCGTGTTAGGACAAAGGGATCGACTCTTCAGCAATTTGATGAGTTTTGCTTTTCCTTTTAGAATTTGCTCTCATGTCCTCTGTTTTCTCACAAGACCCTTTTTTCTTCTCGGTTAACAGGAACTAGAAAGACACTCCACTGATTGGTTCTGAAAGATGGCCATCCTCCTCCCATTGTTTCTTTTTTCCCACTCCTTTCCTGGCTGACAACCCCATGTATGACATTCTCTGCCACTGGTTTTTTGAACTGATTCTGCTTTTTTTTTTTTTTTTTTTAATTTCTCTCTATCTCCAAAAGAAGATTCAGAGACATCCAGATACCACTAAAACATTCATTTATTGCCTCTTCTACCCCAAGCATTGTAAATAAGAAATCATTTGCTACAGATTGAGTGTTAAATCATTTTCTTCCAAAGGCCTCTTCCAGCTGTGGGTAGAGACCATGATCACTTCTGAAGAGACTCACTGTCCAGCTACCAAGGAGAGGCCATGTGAGGAAACATTGCTGTCTGTGCAGGGCTACCTGGCAAATATTTCCAGCTGGTGAAGATTCTGAGAAATGGTGCACCTTTTTCACTCTTTCTTTTCCACTTGTTGTGTCAGGCCTCCAAACCCAATACCTGTGGGGCCAAAATTTTTGGCATAGCAAACTGTGAACGAGAAAGGGGTGAGGGGAGAGAGAATACACTGGTTAGCATCATTATTTCAGGGCACGGTCCTTCCACCTGTTGCTGACGTCCTTCTGATAAATGCTTACATTCATTCACTTTTACATAAATTAAACCACACATATTAGATCTGCTAATAAGAATTGTTTATACTTCTTCACATTTTACTAAGCGTGTTCACAGACATTTTCTCGTTTGAGTCAGCATACTGTGGAGTGTATAAAAGCAAATGAAAATCTATGGATAAAACTATGAAACACTAGGCCAAACCATGGGTTTTTCTATGCTCCAAGTCCTCTGAGAAAGACTTACTTTCTTTACTTTTTAAAATTTTTATTTTGAAGATGTGGGGTACACAGTCTCATCGCCTGGTGCCTCCTGCCTGCTGCCTCCCTTTCTACACCCCAGGCACCCAGACCCCTTGTAGTTCCCGGCTCAGGAGTCTTCATCACCACGGCTCCCTGTTCTTGGAATGCCCCCCTCAAGCTCACACTCAATCTTTAAGCCCCAGAGAAAGGTGCCTTCTAGGAAACCTTCCCCATCATCCCCTGCTGATGCCTTTGTTGGTGACCACATCATGAATGTTCCTTTGCCATAGCTTTCCTTTTTTCATTTTGAAATGCAATAGGCCCAGTGCAGTGTGGCTCACGCCTATAATCCCAGGACTTTGGGAAGCCAAGGTGAGAGGATTGCCTGAGCCCATGGGATCAAAACCAGCCTGGGCAACTTGGCGAGACCTCATCTCTACAATAAATCAAAAAATTAGGCAGGCATGGTGGCATGTGCCTGTAGTTCCAGCTACTTGGAAGGATGAAGCAGAGGGATCACTTGAGCTCAGCAGGTCGAGGCTGTGGTGGCCGTGAGCATGCCATGCACTCCAACCTGGGTGACAGTGAGACTCCAGCTCAAAAAAAAGAAGAAATGCAACGATTTGTTTCCATGCTGATCTTCCTGCTGACTGCAGCAATATTGTAGGATATGATGGTCTATGAGTGCTCAGGACCCTCTGTGTCCTCTACTGTCCAGAGCCGGCGACCATCTGTCAGCTGGAGGGGTAACTCCATTCTGCATCAACAGGGAACGGCGCTGGCAATTTACAGCCTTGATTTATGAAATCCTCCCTCCTAACCCCCTTCCATGGCTCCCCCCTGCTGCATACTTGTGGGGAGATTCTTGAGGCCCTGTCATGAAGTGATGAAGCTCCACTGAGCCACAGAATAGGCCCAGGAGACGCTTGGGGGTTGAGGACACATTGCCTTGGCCTTAGAGCATCTTTTTCTTTTGTAGTGTCGGGAAGGAGTTAAGTCTCTGCTACCTCTCCTCAAGATGGAGGGATTATGGAAGCAGTGAGGGGCAGAACTGTGAGGACCAGCAGGAAACCTGGATGTATCCCTGTATCACTGAATGACGTGCAGCATAGAAACAGAAATGTTGGGAGGGAGGGAAATAGTTATGTTGTGATGAACTCAAGTGAGATCACAGAGCTTACCCTCCTGTCGCCCCTGTCTGTCACTCAGATGGACGGAGGGTGTTTGGACTTTTGTCCAGGCCTGGGACCTCTTACAAGGCCAGAAGCAGAGTGAACTCCTCTCCCCTAGGCACCCAGCTGTCCTGAACCAGTGAGCATCTGCAAGGATCTCGTCCCTGCCAGGTGCTTCAATGAAGATGACCAGAGCTGGGCCAGGTGGGAGATTTCTTTCCATTAGGTGGTTTTGTTCCCCCTCCTGAGAACCCAAATTCTACCCAGGCTGAGCCACCATGCCTCCCGGCAGACACAGGACTCTGGGCATGGACACAATTTTCCTTCCCAAGGGCCCTTGTTGGGAAAATATATCTCAAGAAAGTCTCCAGAGTCACTCACCTTTGCAATAAAGTTCCCCGTCTTTGTCAGTGACATTCGTGGACTCCAGACTCTTCCCACAGATGGCACAGCGGAAACAGGTCTTGTGCCAAGGCTGAGGGGCACAGGAGAGTCTCATGTTTAGGGAGATAGGCAGCACATTCTGCTTCCACTTCAAGTTCCCTGACCAGCAGCATACAGAGGCGTGGCACTGTCCTAACCATTCACTTATCTAATGGTCCACAGAATAATTTTTCCAGGGGTTTGGAAAAAATGAGATGCTACTGCTAGGCCAGCCATCCTCGGAAGCCTGTAAATGGATGGTGACTTGCCTGTGAATTCCTTTAGGACAGACTGAACAGGAAAGGGCTTCCTTGGGTTGAAAAGATCCAAGGAACCAACTGGTCAGAAAAGAACTTGGGTTGGGGCAGTGGGTAACATTTTTATTGCATCTAAAGTGAAGGAAAGAAATAAGAAAACTATCCAGGAAGTTCAACCATGTTTTAATACTATGGAATTCCAGTGGCAGAGAGTTTTGTGACTTGGACTTTCCAAAAGATCTTTCTCTTGCACATCTGCATGTCTAACAGGCACAGCTTAGGGTTCTCTTATGTATTCAATTAGTCAGTTTTGGGGTGGACACTGCCCTTGTGTTGGAAGTTCCCTATGGCCCTTCTTCCTCCCCATTTAGTGTAAACGAGGTTTTTCTCTTTCCTTGGGTCCAACTCCTTTGGTGAATATCCTGGCTTTGAGCCTTAAACTGGAACCTGTAGAGCAAGTGTGCATGACTGTCTCATGATGACTTTCCTGAGAGCTGACACTTGCCAGTGAGGATGCATCTCAGTGCTGTGAGGCATCTGCTGTGTCCCTCAGTTGTGATGCCGGCAGCAGGCACTGGTGAGAGGTCCCAGGGCTGACGCCTTTCTGGAAGGACTGTGGACACTGGAGGGCAGGGGGGCTCAAGTGTCTTTATGTCCCTGAGCTTTTAGCTGGGTTCCATTCACCTAGCAGGCTAGCATTTGCTGCATCGTATGTCACTAGTTCTGGCTTCCCAAGGGTGTTGCGGGATGATGGTCACAGCCTGGGAAAGTAGGTAAGGATGTGTGCTTTCTAAAGTGGCTCTGGGAGCTGAGGAGAATGAGAGGCCTGGCACCCAACCGCCAGCAGTGCCCACTTTCTCTCTCATACCTCCTTCCCGCTGGTCTAGTGGGGGTGAGCACATCCTGCTTGGCTCATATCCAAGGCCTTACCTTGCCACCGCCCATGACCTTCTCGGCAGCGTAGACTGACTTTCCACATCGAGGGCACTTCTCTGACTCTCCAAACTTTGCGGTGAACTTAGAAGGGTTGCTGGTGGTGGCTGAGCGTGCCGGCTTTGGGGACCTGGTGGAAACATATAAATGAATGAAACGTGGACCTCCCTTAGCAAACAGTGCATGCTGTGTAACCTTGAGCGAGTTACTTCACTTCTCTGTGCCTCAGACTGCTCATCTGGAAAATGGAAATAATTGTGTGCCTTTCTCATAGCATTGCTAAGAGTAATTAAATGAGGTGACACAGCCAGACTTGGGTGGCTCAGCCTGTAATCTCAGCACTTTGGGAGGCCGAGGTGAGTGGTTTGCCTGAGCCCACGAGTTCGAGACCAGCCCGGGCAACCTGGTGAGCCCTCGTCTCTACAATAAAATAATAATTTAAAAAAATAGCTAGGCATGGTAGTATGTGCCTGTAGTTCCAGCTACTTGGAAGGCTGAGGTAGAAGGATCACCAGAGCCCAGCAGGTCGATGCTGGGGTGGCCTCAAGTATGCCACTGCACTCCAGCCTGAGCAATGGAGTAAGACTCCAACAAAACAAAACAAAAATATGAGATGACACATGGGAAGCACTTAGGACAGTGCCTGACTAGGGCTAATGTGTGAGCTAAAATGGGTTTAAACCTTCCCTTTCTGGTGTATAGCACTTAGGAAGTGTTCCAGGTATATTCACTAGTGTTACTGTTACTGCTGTGTCATTATTACCGCTGTGCTGGTGTCTGGTTTTCTGTACTATCTTGGGGGCCACGGGTTTCCTTTCTGAAGGGAGTTGTGAAAATCACAGGGCAAGGCAGGTTCTTGGCAATGCATGCTAATTAGTTCCTGACAAGCCACATCCATGAGCTGATGCTTTCCTCATCACAAGTTAGCTGTCACCCTGCATCCAAAGAACACCTGTCCCAGGGGTATTCATGTCCAAAATAGGGGCTCAATAACAGCCTCTTGTGTATTTGTGTCTTCCGGTGTTTTCTTGGCCATTCTGTCACTTGAGCCACAACCCTATAAAGTTGACAGGGCTGGGAGGAGAGTAAGGATCAGAGGGGAGACTGCCCAGGGCCGGGCAGCTCTGAGCTGGGAGGCTGGGAAAACACCCGGGTCTTCATACCCAGTCTTCCTCGTGCAGTATCACAAGAAAGCCCTCAGGCTGCAAAGTGAACTTTGTTTAGTGTGAAGCAGAGAACGCAGTGGGTGTCTTTTCTTCCGTAAGGAAAGTCTCCAACTGAGATTGAGTGATAAGAAAAGTTTCATGCCTATAATCCCAGCAGTTTGGGAGGCAGAGGCGAGAGGATTGCCTGAGTCCAGGAGCTCGAGACCAGCCTGGGCAACATGACAAGACCTCATCTCTACAATAAATCAAAAAATTAGCTAGGTATGGTGATGCATGCCTATAGTTCCAGCTACTTAGAAGGCTGAGGTGGAAGGATCCCCTGAGCCCAGCAGGTGGAGGCTGTGGTGGCCATGAGTGTGCCACTGCACTCCAGCCCAGGCGACTGAGTGAGACTCAGACTCAAAAAAAAAAAGACTTAGCGAAGAGAGCATCTCCCTTGAGATGATGAATCACACGTTCCTCCACTTTTCCAGGCTTTTCTGTGGGTTACTTTTTATGTTTTTGAGTCAGAGTCTCACTCTGCCGCCCAGGCTGAAGTGTAGTGGCATGCTCATTGCCATTACAGCCTCAACCTGCTGGGCCCAGATAATCCTTCTGCCTCCACCTTCCAAGTTGCTGGAACCACAGACATGTGCCACCACACCCAGCTAATTTCTGGTTTATTGTAGAGATGAGGTCTCACCAAGTTGCCCAGGCTGGTCTCAAACCTCTGGGCTCAGGCAGTCCTCTCACCTCGGCCTCCCAAAGTGCGGGGATTACAGGCTTGGGTCACCATGTCCGGCTGGGTTACTGTCTTGAAGGAGGGGTGACGCCTCAGGTGATCTAAGTGCTCTCTGAGAAGGCCTCCCACAGGACACTTCCTTGGTTGGGCTGGGCCCTACTGGCCTGTCCCACCACAGAGCTGAGCTTGGATACCAGTGGCCATCAGACTGTCTGCAGGCCTGGACTGGAGGCCAGTGTGATCACCAAGAAGGAGGACTGAGGGGAGGAGATGGGTGGATGTAGGTGGCCAGTGTGATGCTGAGGGAACTCCAGCACTGTACTGGCAGCAGGCAGCCTGGGAGACCCCCTAGAACAATCAGGATTGATTGCGCACTTCGAGGCGCAGCCCATCCCTGCAGACGCACTCCGCCTGCCATGTGGACATTAGTCATCTTACAACCCAAGGGAAGAAATCTCTTCGTGACAAGCACACAAAGAATGGCCATTGCTTCCCTGCCATATTTATGTGATTTACACAGAGACTCTCAAAGGGGAAGAAAAGAGACTCCTTGCAGTTTTTTGCAAAGGTCAAACAATGGAACATCTGTACATTCTGGGTTTTCTCTTGACATGCAAACTAAGAGCCATGGTGTAAAAGTAATTGCCCTTTAGAAAGGCAGATAATTTAGAGAGAGCCTTTGGAGGGAGGACATATTGTTCAAACTTGGTCAGACTGAGTATTCCTATTGTTGGCGACTCAACAATAGAGTTCATTCTCCCACTTCCAGAACACGTTGCTATGGGAACGAATGAACTGTCCTGATGTGTTGGAGCCTTCTGGGAGAGGGGAGCCGGGAGTACTCACTGTTGGAACTGGAGGCCAAGGTGTTCGCCTGTGTCCGTGCTGAGACAGCCAGCGCCTTGTCCGTACCCGATGCCCTTAGGGCCATACCTGCGCCCATAGCACACCTTGCAGTAGATCTCTGACTCGTGAGCCGCCACTGTCGTGCTGTCGAGAGCCTTCCTGCAGGCCACTGCCAGGGAAAGAAAGGGTCAGGGGGTTGGTGTTGAGATGTTTCTCCCGTTTTCTGCACCCTCGATGTCATACTCGGGGCCAGAGTCTCAGCACGAGAGACTCTCAAGCCAAGAACACGACTTTGATGCCTGACCAGGGCATCCGTCCTGAGTCTGCACTCCAGGACAGTCCTCATAGCACAGACCAGGAAATTGGATTCCATGGTTCCCAGCTAGAAAGGGGCAGAGGTCAGCACTGGAACCGGATGTGTCATCTCAAACCTGCTAAGAACCATGTCCCTGAGTGCTTCACCCTGAGTGACATCAGGGAAATGTGTGTGTTTATGTGTGGGAGGGAAGGGGGATGTTGAAGCAGAAGAGGAGCCTTTTTTTTCTTAGTCATTTAAGAATCAGGATCAAGACATTGAAAGACACTGTGATGTTCAAGGAGACAATGGCTACTGAGGTTAGTTTTGGTCCAGCTCTGGAAGCGGGGAGGTGGTGATGGGCACAGACCGGCCTCGTGGACTCCTTAAGCACCCTGCTTACCCCTGCTTACCGTATATTACGTAATGTAAAGTAGCCTCACATGTTTTTCTAAAAAGAAGATTTATAGAAAGATTTTCTTTTGCAAACTTGAAAACAAACCTTTAAAGATGTGAATGAAAATGTCAAATATTTACTTATAATATTTACTTCAGTAATATAATCAGCAATATATTGATTTGGAAATGTTCCTTTTTTCTAATCTTCCACAAATTCAGGGAACAATTGTCTCCAATTCTTTCTCTGCTTCTTTAACCATCAGCATTTTCCTCACCTTCCCAACTCACTTTTGGGGGCAGCTGACCCAGCTTTGCTAACCAGCTCACCTTGCCTTTTGTCCATAGCTTTTGATAGGCAGCTCTGTTTTATGCCTGAGTAGGAGGCTGCCACCTGGAAATTGTTTCAACAAGAAGGTCCTTTTTGAGAGGTGGAGGCAATAGGATTACCTGAGTCCACAAGTTCGAGACCAGCCTGGGTAACTTGGTGAGACCTCGTCTCTACAATAAATAAAAAAATTAGCCAGGCATAGTGGCACACGACTGTAGTTCCAGCTACTTGGAAGGCTGAGGTGAAAGGATCGCCTGAGCCCAGCAGGTCGAGGCTGGGGTGGCTGTGAGCATGCCACTGCACTCAAGCCTGGGCGACTGAGTGAGACTCCAACTCAAAACAAAACAAAAAAAGAAAGTTCTGTTCTTCTGACATCTCACTGGGGCAGCTTTAGCAAAGATAGAGATTTCTACAACATAACAACTCTCTGTATTGCTTTGCAACAATGATCCTTAAAGGTTGTCTATAATGATGCTTGGTTCTTGTGAGAGTGAGAGCTTATCCCCAGGAATAATAACACATGTGCATTAAATCGATTTGCTTGTTTTAAAGAAAACCAGTTCTATCGAATGGTCTCTATAAACAATCCAGCATCAAATGAGATCATTTCAGACGAATACACCTCCCTCAAATGGTATTTTGTTGTTGAAAAAATAAAGTAATTGAATACGGAGGAAGAAGATAAGATGCAGATGAGGTAGAATTGGCCAGGGGTTGATGGTGTGGGCCAGGGAAACAGGCATCTGGGAGTTTATTTCACTATTCTGTCAACATCGTGTGTTTTTAGGATTCTTTGTTTAAAAAAAAACTAAATAAGTAAATAGAAATAATTGAAAGAAGTTCTTATAACTGAGGAGAGACTTTCTAAGGCTTTGAACACAAGGCAAATCTTTTAATTCAAGACTTATTTTCAGAGGAAGTGCCTTATATCAGGACACAGAAGGTAGATAACTGTCTCTACCCTTGTTGCTACCAGTTACTAACCTCCAGAACTGTCTCTTCCATATTTGTTGAGGGTCTAGATGAGTTCCTTGAGGGCAAGGCTGTTTTATCTTAATATCCCCAGAACATAGCCCAGGACTGGGGTTGGAATCAGTCCTCTGTAAACATTGCTGAATGATGCATGAATGAATAAGTGAATGTGTTAAGGTAAACCATGGTCATACAATAGTAAGTTGCAGAAGTCCAGGCCTTTGACTTTCAGTCCAGTGCTTATTTCTCACTCCAAGACTGCCACTCTCTGGCTTCTGACCAGTGTTTACACACGGACAAAGGGGAGGGAGCTGTGCTTTCCAGGGCTGTAGCCACCAGCCACATAATCTGCTAAAGTGCAAACTGCACACCAGATTTCAAACACTTAGGAGATATGCCAAAAGAATATAAAATATCCCATCAGTAATTTATATGCTGATTATGCATTGAAACTATAATATTTCAGATATATTGGGTTAAAGTTTGGGGTTTTTTTTAAGTTGGAATCTCACTCCATCACCCAGGCTGGAGTGCAGTGGCACGCTCACGGCCACTCCAGCATCGACCTGCTGGGCTCCAGCGATTCTTCCGCCTCAGACTTCCAAGTAACTGGAACTACAGGCACACGCTACCACACCCGACTAATTTTTTGATTTATTGTAGAGACGAGGTCTCACCGTGTTGCTCAGGCAATCCACTCGCCTCGGCCTCCCAAAGTGCGGGGATTACAGGCTTGAGCCCCTCCACCCAACCTGGGTTAAATGTTTTAAAATTAATTTCATTTATTTCTTTGTACTCTTAAAATGATGGTTACTAAAACATGTAACTCTATATATGTGGCTTGCATTATGTTTCTTTTGGACAGCAAAAAGTGAGTCTAGAGACTAATTATGGAGATTTATCTAGAAGATAGGAGAACATTGGCCAGGGGACCATCTAAGGTAGACCCTGCCTCTCTGAACCCTATGTCCGGCAGCTACGGGATTGCCTGTGGACAGGTACGTCTTGTGATATAATATAGAAAAGTGTTCTCTTTTCCAGGGTCCTTCTATCTGCCACTTCTGAATCTTACCCTGCTCAGATCCTCACCCCACCTATGAGTTCTAAGGAAACCATCAGAGGGTTAAAAAGGGATGTACCACCAAATGCTCAAATCCTTTCTATCATGGCTCCATTGAACAGGACATCTTGCTACCTGGGAAAGACAAGACACCTTCTACTGTGGAAAATTTCCCTACCATTTTCTGTCCCCACTCAGATATTCATACTGGTCAAAGGAAAATAAAGACTTAGAATGAATTTCGAGATCAAGAACCTCGTTTCCTTCTTGTAACAGCCTGTTTAGTAGATATAACTATCTCCATTTCAAAATGGAGAGATTGAGGCTCACGGTGATGAAATGACCTGCCCAAGCTCTCACGGTTAGCAGGTGGCAGAGCCTAGACTCAACCTCTAGTCTTTTTCCTCTAATTTCAATGTTCTTTTTACTATTCTTTACTCTTGCTCTTCTGAAAGAACACCAGCTATTTTTGGAGGGTTATGGAATGGACTGTCTTGAGCGATGAAATCTGGATAATTGTAATAATAATGATAAATCTGAGGGATGTGTAGAATGACTTAAAAAATAATTACCCATCATTAAAATCCAAAGTATTGGTAAGTCCACCCAGCCAATTGCTCAGAGCGTGTTTCCCTGGTTCTTCCAGGGTAATTGTGTTGGGATATGAGAGATGATAGAAACTCTTACAGCTGATACAATGTTACTGTTTCTGGCACCTAAGGATGGAGTTTTTTCTGCCCCTTGAAGTCCAGTTTGAAGCAGTTTGTAGCTACGCGGATACTTTGCATCCCCTGGGCTGAAGCATGAGAGTGTTGTGGAAATGGGGACTGGGCGAGGAGGGGCCCTTTCCATGTCCAGTAAAGCCAGCCCTTAAGCCAGACCTATTGAGGGGGAAACAGAGAAGGGAAGTGGCCATTTCAAGCCATGACCAATGTTTCCCAAAACAGGACCAGCTGCCGGGAATTCAGTAGAACGAGGTCATGTCAAAGAGCGCTGGACCAGGAGTCTGAAGAAGCAAGTGCAGGTATCTAGCTCTGCTGCACATGCCTGCAAACTGGGCTTAGAGGTCGGAAATGACATGTCCGGTGTCGCCTGGTCAGGGAGAGCCAGGCGTTCAGGGCACCACAGGGGTCGCCAAGCTCCCACTCTTTTTGACATCTGTGAATCTGTGTCTGGTAGGGGATGCTCAAGGTCCCCTTCATGGAGTTACTGGTGTCCGGGCCCTGAAATGTTTCCGTTTCTGCCTCTTATACCTGTTGACCCCGGCTGACACGGGTTCTTAGGTGAGACCGGCCACAGCCAGCTTCCGTCACAGCTGCTCACTGGGAGAAACAGAGAGAGCCAGATCCACCCTGGCTCCAGCCAGACCCACCATGGCCTCTTCCTTTCTCTGCCATGTTGTCAGTGTTGCCACTGGGTCAAGGTTTTCCCCAGAAGAGCAGGGACAGGCCCACTTGTTCTGACTTTGAGCTTCAGGGACCTCAGTGGCCCCTGAGCTAGCTGAGTGGCTGGAGACGGGCTGCTCGGGAGAGCCACATCCCTTCTTAGGAGAGGCCCAAGTGTTCTATTTCTAGCAAGTTCTCAGGCGGTGCTGATGCTGTGGGACCGGGGCCACGCGCTAAGAACCCTGGCATCCTGTAGCTGCGGCTAACTGTGAACCTGGCCATGACCGCTGGGTGCAGGCCCTTCCCCCACCCCTTCCCTCCACTCACTGCAGTGGAAACAGGTCTTGTGGAAGCTCCTTCCATTGCACTGGATCTCCTCCGCGTGATAGACGGTCTTCTCACAGGCGCCACACTTCGCGCCTCCGCCCCAGTTCGGCATGTTGAAGACTCCGACCAAGGTCAAGTCTAGCGGGATAGAAGCAAATACCCTGAATGTAGGTGGCCACAGGAGTCAACCAATCCCTAGGAGTGCAGTGGTCTGAAGGCCAGGGTCCAACACAGTTTGTTTGGTCATTCATTCATTCATTCATTCATTCAGCAAATAGACACTGTGTGCTAGTCATTGATTAAACTCAGACACTCGATGGCTTTGAGTGATCACTTTACTACTTAGAAGACTCAGTTTCCTCTTCTTTTGAGCTTCAGTAACGTCTGCCCCCTATGTATCTCACGGGGTTCTTGGAAGGAATGGACGGGCTAATTTTGTGTATGTCAAATTATATATACAAGTATGAAGAATTATTATTATTATTATTTTTTTTTTTTGAACTGAAGTCTCACTCGTTGCCCAGACTGGAGAGCAGTGGTACACTCACGGCCACACCGGCCTCGACTTGCTGGGCTCCAGTGATCCTTCCGCCTCAGCCTTCCAAGTAGCCGGAACTACAGGCATGCGCTACCACACCTGGCTAATTTTTTTTTTAATTTATTGTAGAGACAGGTCTCGCCAAGTTGCCAGGGCTGGTCTCAAACTTGCAGGCTCAGGCAATCCACTCACCTCAGCCTTCCAAAGTGCTTGGGATTACAGGTTGAACCACCGAGCCTGGCCAAGAATTATCATTTTTAAACTAACATTTTAAAAATTATCCCATCAGAAATGGGAGTCACCTATGAAAATGTCCTTATCTTCTTGTCTAGCTCAGTGCTCCTCAAATCCCCCTGGACCTTGCCAAAATGCACATTCTAGATTGGCAGATCTGTGTGTCTGTCAGACTCCAGACAGCGCGGATGCTGAGTGGACCGCTCTTTGGGTAGCGAGATCTTAGCTTATCTTGCAGGTAAATATAATAGATGAGATACCAAATCTCCTCTCCAGTTTTATTCCTCATCTTTATGAATTCCTTTCCCAGAATATCATCACCAGGCTATAAGACACACTGGTGCTATACTGGGTCTGAGGTCCGGAAACCACTCTGCCTCCAGGGTGACCTTCCCCTGCTGTGTGTACTGGTATGAACCACACAGCTTCCCTTGGCTTCTGTGTTCCCACCTATACAATGACAGAACCAGCTGGACATGGTGACTCTCACCTGTAATCTCCTTCTTTGGGAGATGGAGGTGAGAAGACTGCCTGAGTCCAGGGGTTCAAGACCAGCCTGGGCAACTTGGCAAGAATTTGTCTCTACAATAAATCAAAAAAATTAGCCGGACATGATGGTGCATGCCTGTGGCTCCAGCTACTTAGAAGGCCTAGGTGGGAGAATCACCCAAACCCAGTAGGTCAAGGCTGCAGTGGCTATGAGCATGCCACTGCACTGCAGCCTGGGCATCAGAGTGAGAGTCCAAATCAAAAAAAAAAAGAGCCATTCTTTTCCATGCTGCCTCACAGTGCTGTTTAAAGAGCCAAGTGACACCATGTGCAGGAAGATGCTTGACAGAGTTCACAGAGTGCGACAGAAGCCACGTGTGGGACTGTTGGGTCCTCCTGTACCCTGGGACATGTTCTGTTGAAAGGAGCTGCTGATAGTCACAGCCCAGGGCTGTCACTGTCCCCTCACTAGAGGATTACGTTGAACAGATATTAACCGAAGCAGAGGATTACAAAAGTCATTTTCTTCCTGTGTCTGTGTGTGTTTTTAAGTATGAATTCAAGTTTGCCATTTCCCCAGAGCAAAACTGAAACAAGCCATTGATAGTCAATGAAATTTCTGAAATCCTGCCAGCTGCCCAGGGGAGCTGAATTTCCGCCGGGATCCTTTGGTTTCCAAGAAGCTCGATGTGTCATCTTGTCATTGACACTAAGCACTATCAGGCCGTCCAGTGTGGCTGCCTCTGACCTTTTCCTTCCCTTCTGGGAAGTCAGTCACCTTCTTATAATAGTTGGCGATTAACACTAAACCTTCCTGGGTCAACTGGTTGGGATTGTATCTCACAGTCTCATAACAAAGACAGGTTTTTTTTGCTAAGAAACAGAAAGTAAATAGCAAACAGACCTCTGAACTTGACACTGGAACCGAAGGGAACATTCCTGTCTAAATATTCCTCCAAAGAGCTTTTCCCACCTAGAAGAACCATGAGGTTAACCAGGAAGATGCCACTTTTCCTCTCATAGGAGCAGGCTCTTCTGTGTCTTTGGCAAAATTTTAGAAAAAAAAAAATTTAAGTAAACATTTAGTGTTTCTATTTTTATAGTCCAAGTCGTTTCACATAGAGGAAAGAGTAATGGATTTTGGGTTGAATGGTTTGGACTCCTGCCAGCATTCAATTCATTCATTCATTCATTTGTTCACCCTGTATTTACCACCTGCTTATCATGTGTCAAGCACTGCACTAGGTACTCCAGGGGGGGAAAACATAGAAATGAGTAATCTGTGTCCTCTGGCATTGAAAAGCCCATGTTCTAATGAGGAAGATAGGTGAGAACCAGAATACTTTATACCAAAGAATAGTCTTGTGACAAGGACTATATATTAAGACAAAGGATGAAAGCAGTGAGTTGCTGGAGGGTTACAGAAGGGATCATGTTCAAGTGAGGTTTTGAAGAGTGAATAGGAGTTCACCAAGTAGAGAAAAAGGGAAAGGACATTTCTGGAAGAGAAAAGAGCAAGCAGGAAGGCATTAGAGGCCTTAATATCCACTACAAGAGTCCAAGGATTTATTTGGGACTCCATTTACACTATAGACTTTTTGAGTTGGAAACTATTTTTAACATTGCCTGCCACCCTCATTTATAACCAAGGTATAGCATTAAAAAGTAAACATTGAGAGTTGTATTCTTAACGTATTTTCTTTTTCCAATTTGCATTCTTCTCTCATTAAAGACGGTACATTTTCTAGAAAATAGTAGAATCACATAATTTCACTCATGTTCATTTTGATCCCGAGTTTCAATGTGATATAAAATAGAAGAAATGTGATCTATTTCATCCAGGAACATGACAATGACACTTATAAAATTAATGATATAGAAATTTTCAGTGAAAACAACCCTAGGTCAAATTTCTAATTTTAAACCTTCAGTGGAGATTTTATTGGCATGTCCTGCATGCGAATGGGAGATGACTGTGCCTCTTGGGGATGGATATATATATATATATATATATATATATTCAGCAATTGTCTAGATATCGTTTTCAAAATGAGAACAAGATGAGAGATAATACCTTCTTCACAAGCTAATGTATCCTAGCACCGATTGTTTTTAAGTGATCGTAAATATCTGACATACATATATCATCAGGGCTTGAAACCCAAAATAGAAATCCTTAAGTGTTCTCTTAACAGATGCTCAGTTCCGTTTCTGAAGATGGGACTGTAACTGTGGGGGCTCAACAAGAAGATGTCTCTGATTTCTTCTTCCAATGCTTTCAGGCCCAAAGACAGAGGGGGTTTTAAGTGTCCTGAATCCAAAGATATGGAGTCTAATCTTGACCTTGTGCCTTTGAACTTGGGTGAAAAGTGTTGATCCTATTATCTCCTGCACAGGATGGTTGTGAAGGTCACAGAAGTATGATGGCGTTTAAGCAGAACTGGGCAGTTGTTCAAAGGCAAGGTATTGTCACGGCTTTACTTCAGGTTGTTCACACAGCACCCCTGTGCTAATCGGCCCCGTGGTTTAAAAGGCCATTTAGGCCTGACTTACGCAAAACCTTTTTAGCCTCCCGCATGGCTTTGGAATTCCTGAGTCTCAACGCTACCCTAGCCAGGTCTGGAATGTGAGTTTGTCCTGGCAGGGTACCAAGGGATGGGCCCTGTGTTTATCAGCGTTGCCTGGTACTGGCAAGGGTCATTGGAGGTGGAATGCCAAATTTAGGCTTGCCCGTCACTTGGCCCTGTCTGTCACCTGGGTCACACTCTCCATCACACGACCTGGCGCTACTCTCTGGGCCAGTTCCTGAGATGGCTCTATTGTCACAGGTAAGTCGTGGGTCAGGATGGAAATGGGGGACAGTCTGGAATGTATGAGGATGACATGGAACGGAGAGCCCTGCTGTGTTGGCTTGGGAGAGGCTGGACTCCAGACCTGGCCACCCAGATCCCAGTGAGAAACAACCTGGGTAGACTCCTTAACTGACAATGCTGTGCAAGAGATGGTGCTGGGAATGGCTTCAGGACATGGCTTCAGGCACTGGATCAGAGGCAGGAGAGCCGAGTTCTAGCTTCACCTTGCCTCTTCAGGGCTGTGTAATCTAGAAGAACCAGTCAACCTCTCTGAACTTCAGTATCCTCACTAAAGTGGGGCCAACAGTCTCTTTGATCTCACTATTGCTAGAAGAGTCCTACTCCTCCAAGGACTGTCAAATCACTCTGTAAACTGTAGAGTATTATAAAATGTAAGAGCTGATTAGTTCTGCCACAACTCTAAGTTGTCACGTATCCATCTGAACTAAAAAAAAATAATAATAATAACTGAACTGTGTATCCTAGGCATGTTCCTTCTTTCTTTTCTTCTTCTTTTTTTATATTTTATTTTAAAGATGCAGGGTACAATTCAGGATTAGGTATATAAGTGGACATCGCACAGGTAATGTTTGGGCCCCCCTTTGGTCCCCACTATGCCTGTCATCAGTCACTCACTGATGTTGTGTTCCCACCCCCAGCACATTCTTTCTAACTCAACTCTCTCTTCCCTCCCCCCCCTTCCCATATCCTTCCCTCCCTTTCTCCCTACTTCCCTCCCTCTCCCTTTCTTTCACTACTAACCATGAAACTGAAAGATGTAGCCTTAGGGCACAAAGTGGTGGGGTGCACAAAATGTGCACTTAGGGATTTCGGTTCTTCTTTGTAGAGGTCCATCAAAGAGCCTAGGAGGGAACTTTAGGCCGTGGCTTTGACTTTGAGCAGGGATCTCAAGAGACAATGCCACAGTGCTGCCGTTTTCAGCTCAGTGCTGGTTCACTCAGTCGTCCTGCGAGATATCTGATTCCACACAACGAGTTAAACTGTCTACACCAGCTGAGGCAAAG